AATTAATCAATTTCAGACTTGTAGTGGGACAGCAAAAAAAAAAAAAAAAGTTTTTTTTTTTTTTTGATAATTTTACGTTTTTTTTTTTTTTTTTTTTTTTTCTTTGTTTATAATATCCTGTAGCATTCTTAATTAATTCTATGTGATCCACAGCAGGTTTCAGCTTAGCACCAATATATTATTATTATTATTATTATTATTATTATGATCTTATCGGCAATTTATTGTGTCTGCATTGCAAATTAGTCAACCTGCAAATTTGCAGCTCCATAAATATATTTCAAAATAAATAAATAAATAAAAATGTTCCATTTTGTCCGACTAATTATGCTATTTTATTGTTTGGATTTAAATATTATATAAAATAATAATATTTTAATATAAAAATAGAATAAGACTTTTTTTAAAAAAAAAATATTATAGAAATTTTTAAAAATAATAGAAATATGATGTAATAAGTAGAAAAAATGGTAATAATATGATTATTATTGGTTAATGTAGAATTAAAAAATTATAAATAAATAAACTTATTTATAATAAATAATTTGTGTATAAATTTAACAAATAATATAAAAAATTGTAATATAATTAAACCAGAAGGAGGAAATAATCAGAATATATATATATCTATAATTATTTATTTATATATGACACGTATGTAAGTATATTTTATTCACACACTTCATATTATTTAGGAAATATTATCACTCTATTCTTTCAACATTAATTTTTCAATTGCAATTTCTAAAAAATAATACTTTTTTCGTTACACTTTATTTGTCTACTTTAGTTTAGACACACAATTTTAGATATTAAATAATTAGAATGTAATTCAAAATATATTAGTAAATATAATAATGATTTGATGAAAAATAATTATAAATTAATATTAAGATGATTAAATAGTTTAATTAAAAAATTATATATTATGTATTTTAAAATTTGAGTAAAGTGTATAATTATATCTCCAAAAAATAAAAAAAAAAAATATGTAGGACGGACGAAAATAAAAAAAATAAACAAATTAAGTGGGATTGAAGGTAATATAAACAACACAAACAAAACCTTTTACAGAAGTAAAAATAAAAAAAATAAAAAATTACATACTCATTTAAAAAAATAAAAAATCAAATATTTAACTTAAAATAATTTTATACTTTTGACACAATTTCTCATACCACAAAAAAAAAAATCAATACATCTAAAAACACTGCGCTAACGCAATGTAAATTTGTTTTTAGTAAAATAAACATTTGATAGTAAGAAAAGATAAATATTTAATGTAATTAAAAATAATATTGGTGATAAATAATACTTACAAAGTTTTAAAATTTTATATGTAAAAAGAGCTACATATATATTTATATATATCTATGGACCTATTGTGGGTATGTTCATCAAAGTTATTTTTGGGTAATACGATTCTTCATAACTATTACTCCACTATCATGTAAATGTGTGCTCATTTGATCGGGCACGAGTTTTAATAAAAATAAATAATAATGATTACTTTTTCTTTTTATAGTAAAAAAAGTACAAAAATATAATAATTTTTTACTTAAAAAAAACAAAAATATTTTTCAATAACAAAAAAAAAAAGTGAGTATAAATTTGAATGACAGAGAGAGTATAATACAATATATATATTTTAATACAATGTATAATATATATATATATTTTATTTATTTACAAAACTTAACAATTTAATATAAAATATTATTTCATATATCATCAATATTATTTGATATACTTAACATAAAAAAAAAAAAAAAAATTCATTTATTTAAGAATGCAAATATATAAATTACGTGCAAATAATTAATAGAATCAATTGGAAGATGATATGATATGATTGTTATTAATATTATATTGATGGTTGCCTTATTACTTTGTCGTCTTGCAATTAAACTTAAACTCAAGTTGTGTCTATATATTAAACACATGGAAGATACGGATTAGTTAAGAGGGTCTACTTCTCTTGAAATTATTATTATTATTATTATTATTATTATTATTTTTAAAAACATTAATAAATAAAATTATACTATTATTATATATATGAAAAAATAATTATTAAACGTGATATGAGTGTATTGGTTTTGATGATCAGAACTATTGCTATTCTATTCACAATTTTTAATAAAAAAATAGTATTATTTTTTTATAAAATATCATTTCTTTCATCCGTGAATTAATATACTATTTCCTCCGTTCTATCTATCGTGTTCGGATTACTGTAAATACGAGAATTTATGATAAATATAATTAATAGATAATTAAAAATATATTAGTGAAAATAATTTTTTTAATAATATAAACAATTATAGATTAAAATTAAGACAACTAATTAGTTTAATTAAAATAGAAAAAATATAAAATGGGTGTATAATCATTTTTAAAAAAAAATAAAAGTGACATGAGATGTGAGACGGACAGAAATCACAATATGGACACGGTAGGTAGGACGAAAATAGTATTTTTCTATTTGAAACGTTCAATAATTATTGTCATATTTCATTTTTTATATACAAATATTTATTTTTTTACTTTTTATTTATTTACCATTTTTATGTGAGTATGCATTATCTCTACTTTACCGTAGAGAGCAAATTTTTCAATTCACAATAAAAATTTAATTACTTAAAAAAACCACATAGATATGATTTAGAACAAAAAAAAAAAAAAAAAATGGATGGAGGGAGAACATCAAAATGCTGTGTGTTTGGTTAGAGGTTTGGATTTTGAGTTGGGATTTGAATAGTAAAAATTTTGAATTTAAATAGTTATATGATGTGATATAAATATGTGATGATGTGATGTTTTGAATGTAAAATTGATTTTTAGTATAATATAAAAAATAAAAAATAGGTGTTTGATTTGATTTTTTTGGGGGAAAATTTTGGATGAATAGTGAGATTTTGTCAAAATCCACCAAACGAACACACCCTAGATATAAATTCACATAAAACGCTCAAGCTCCATTCCTTTAGATAAAGACTTTTGAAGTTTTTTTTAAAAAAATTAGAATTAGTAAAAAAAAAAGATATTTGATATAATATTTTAAAACAGATGATTTGTATTGATTGTGTTTTGAAATTAATTTGACATTAGGTGTTGATTTGATTTTTTTAAAAAATAATGCTCTCTTTGTCCTGAGTCCGATGATCCATTTTAGTAGGAATACTGTATATCAGTATGTAAATTAGTAAGTTATTAATAATAAATTATGATATTAATTTATTAATTTTTACATGAGTACCGTTTTTCATATTTTTAACATTATATTTCAATAAAATATATAAAATATGGATATAATTTTGTACATAATAAAATTTTATACAATACAAATAAATAAAAATATATAATTATTTATTTATAATTACCTTAAAATTAATTTTTATAAAAAATGAGTAGTTTTAATTGTAGATAAAAATATTTATTTATTAAAGAGAGATACGAGTAAAGGGTTTTGAATGAATCCTACATAATATATGAGTTATGTTATGGTGCTAGGGAAGTTGATTTATATTTGTTAACTATATTTTAAAATAGTAAATTTGATCAAATATAAAAAAATGTCAGAATAAAATCTAACAGATTAAAATGAAAAGAAAAAACGCATTGTTTGTTGTGGGATTGAGGAAGTATATTTTATTAGGTAAAAATTACCTATTCTTTATAGGTTTGTGAAGATCGGTTGTGTTTCTTTAGAAAAAAAAACTTCTCAAATTTTATTATTTGAATTTTGTATTTTTTAAAAAAATAAAATAAAATAAAATATTCTATTAAATATTATTTTAATATTAAAGTTAAACCAAATTTTCTCAAGTTTTTACCAAAAAAACGAGTTTTTTCAATTTCTAAATTTTTATTTTTTTTTTAAAAAAAGCTTACTTTGATTTCTCTAAGAAAAATATATTAGTTCTCCTTACAAAACTCTAATTCTCTCTCCGTCCCATTGGAATGATGATGTTTGTTTTTTGCATGCAAAATTTTTGAATATTAGTATTATATTGGATTATAGTAAAAAATACAAAAATATCCTTATTAGTATGGTATAATATAAAAGTAATGGCATTTGTGTAATATATTATAAGTTAAAAGGGTATTTATTATGCTAAGTAGATAGTACAATTACTAAATTAGGAAATAGTAATCTTGTTTTGGAAAAAAAAAAAATTGGTAACCTTACAATGAGACGGAAAGAGTATTACATTCTCAATCTAATTTCAATATCAACATATAATCCACTCTCAAATAAAATACACTATTATAAGTAACCAAAAAAAGATTTATTACTTCCTCCATCTCTTAACAATCTATCAATTTTTTCATTTTGATTCATTCTATATTCAATTTTTTTTTAGTAATTATATTATCTACTTAACATTACATATACCTATTCAATTTACAATATATTACACAAATGTCATTATCTTTATATCATACAATACTAATAAGATTAGTTTAGTCTTTTCACTTTTATTTCTACTATATTATAATATAATAGTAATATTTCTAAAAATCCGTACAAAAAGTAAAAGGTAAATAGATAAAAAAATATAGGAGGAATGGAGTATTATTATTATTATTATTATTATTATTATTATTTTTTAAAAAAAGGACAGCCAGTGATGAGAAGACAGGTAGTGAACAATATCTCATATTTAAGTACTTTAGTGGATGGACATAATTTCGACACCCTGTCCAATCTCTATACATTAATTCCCAACATCTTTTTAATTATTATATTTAATTTAATTTAATTTATTACTTTAATTAATCGGTAAACCACACAGGTCCACCAAAAGTGTGAACAAGAAACCCTGCCGGAATTATTATTATTATTATTTTTTAATTTTAAATTTTAAAATTTCTAAAATAAAATATTCCCCAAAATAATCTTCGATAGCTCACACGACCGCAGTCGCCAAATCAACAGTGGATTCATATACACAAATATTTAATCATATCTCAAGATTTCAAGAATCTCTTCAAGTTTTATTAATAATCACTTTTAATTAAAATTTTCCCCCAAATCGAAAACCCTAATTCACCATTAATGGATCATCAGAGCAGCCACAGTTCTTGCCCCTTTTTCCCCCTCGAAGATCTCTCCATCGATTGTCCCGACATCACGTTTTGGGATTCCTCCCTCGACCATGTCCTTCACCCGCCGGAATATTCCCTTTTCGGAGATACCGAGAATCATAAGGGGAAGGGTAAGGAATCCGACGACGGCGCCACCACCGCCACCGCCACCGCCGTCGTCAAAGAGAAGAAATTAATGCATCGGGAAATTGAGCGGCAGCGCCGCCAGGAAATGTCCGGACTTTACGCCTCACTCCGATCAGTCCTCCCGGCGCATGTTCTCAAGGTTCATATTTTTTAATTAAAAATAATAATAATAAATATATAAATACGTTTTTAGTCGAATGTAATAAAATTATATATATATATATTTTAAGGGTAAGCGATCGATATCGGATCAAATTTACGAGGCGACGAAGTACATAAAATTTCAAGAAAGTCGAATTAGGGATTTGGGGAATAAGAGGGAGGCCTGCCGGAGAGGGGCCGGCGCCGGCGCCGGCGCCGTCGAGGAGGTAATAATGCCGGAGACGGCAGAGGTGAGCGGTGGAACGGTGACGGTGGAGGCGTGCTCGGTGGGCGCGGAGGTTTTAATTAGCGGCGATTTTGAGTTGCTTCCGCTTTCGAGAGTTTTGGCAATGTTGGTCGCAGAAGGACTCGAGGTCGTCTCGTGTAATTTCACGAAATTCGATGGGAGGTCTTGTTACATGATTCAATCCCAGGTATGTATGTTCGATTATCACTTTTGTTTTTTTCGAGAAATAGAATGAAAAGAAAAATTATAATTTTGAATATTTAGATAGTATATTATATTTATTATCGCTCGGAAAATTGATTTATATTTTCGGTATAGTCGACATTAATTGTCTTGTATGTGTTATGATCATTAGAGAAATGCGAGTGAGATAATCGATCATTTTTCATTGACTAGAATGAGATTATAAGATCAAATTTATAAATTTAATTTTTATTTTTTTAAAATTTTTTTTCAATGAATAAAATTCGATTGCAAAATTATATGACAAGATTAATAATCATGCACGTATGCATATATTGATTTTAGGATTAAAGGGTTTGAATATATTACTTTAGTTTAGGGTTTAGTTTGATCAACTTCACCCTAAAAATTAGGGTTCTATTTATTGTACATTGAGAAGCTACTTTTTTAACACTATTTGTTTATAATATTATTTTAAAAAAAATATTACATTCAATACATATTTTTTCGATGTATAATATTTTTAGTAATTTTCAAATTTTCAAAAAATCATATTTAAACAAAGCCAATGTTTCACTAAAAGTTGTCTTTCGCAATTTAGACATTTGCGTTCATCTTCTCTTCCTATCTCTTCTTCAAAACGAGAAATTTTCTTCCATATTCGAGTAGTTTAATGAAACAAAAGGTAGAGAATAATTTGAAATCTTGGCTCATTAATGTGTTACTATCGGGTTTTATATATATATTCACCTTCAAATCTAAAATAAAAAGTGTAGTAGTAATTAGTAGTTCATATACTACAAAAAAATAATATATTTGTAACGGAATTTCGTCCCTAAAATTCACGTACCTAACATAATTCCGTTCCTAATTTCGTCTCTAATGTCATTAATAACGGAAAAAGTAGATTTAGAGACAAAAAAATTTTGTTACAAAAATGATTTTTTCTTATAGTGATATTACTCCGGCGCTGGTGCCATTAAATTTTGTTCTTCGGGTTTTTAATTTCAGAATGTGCATGACAATACAAGCTAGCCCTTAAAATCTTGTTTTGAGAAAATACTATCACTATGTTGGTTTTGTAATAATCGTGCTTACGTTTTTGTATTAATGAAGGTTCGTAGCGGTCATCTTAACATCCATCTCCAAGGGCTTCAAAGAAAATTGTCGGCTTTCATCAACACATTGTGAGATTTGGGAAAAATATGTAGTCGGAATAATGAATGAAGGTAGAGTTTGTTCTTTATTTTATCCGTGCGCGCACACACACATATGTATGTATGTATTTTTATATATTCTTCGATGTTTTTACAACGGGTATTGTGAGGAGTGTGAACTTGTCATTTGCTCGTTTGTTATTTTATGATATATATATACATATATGTATAGGTGTGGCGTGTGCCTATGTGATCGATTATCATTTTTTCTCATGTAATTTTGCATGATTGTATTTTGATTGTTTAAGTTATTGTATTTAACATTTATCATCCTAAAATTTTATGCGACAATCGTGTGATTTTTTGAATTTTAGGACGCAAAATGGAGATATGGCAACTTACGGTGTCATGAAATTTATAATCGCAAATGTATATATACACGATCAAAATTATGATCTCATTTCGTACATTTATTAATGGGATCAATGTGCATTTGAGGTTTCGCGCTAACAATACAATAATGTTGCGATTCAATTGATTTAACTCGATCGAGTAATTCCATCTTCCTTAGGGGTGTTTGTAGAGATAATTAAGACTTGATTGTTAAATAAATTGAGTGAAACAATTCTATATTATTGTATTTCCATCTTACTTTAAAGTTATATGATTCAATCTATAATCAATTAATTTGATGATCTCACTTGAGGTGAAGTAGAAAAGAAAAGTGTTAGAAACTTCATTTTATTTCAAGAAATCATATTAGTAATTAAAATCAACAAAATCATAGCAACTTAGTCAAATTACTACAAAAAAAAAAAAAAAGAAAAACAACATATTTGCAACGAAAATTAGAGACGATAGAGGTTCTCTACGTAAACTTTAGAAATAGAATTTCCTAATTTGGTTCCTAATATCATTAGTAATAAAAATTAAATTTAAGGATAAAAAAATTTTGTTACAAAAGTATTATTTTCTTATAACTTAGATATCTTACTTTTAGATAAACATATTTGAGCTGGTAAGAAAAAAGACAATACGATAAAAAAGGATGTTGAATTTGTGTGTTATTTATTAAAGTATATATTAAAGTAGAAATTGTTTTTATGCATTTGATATTTTGAATCTAAAAGATCAAATTTGAAACATAAATTGTTGCACTGATCTTGATTTTGGCTTTAATTTAGGGTTTGTTCATTTTCTTTCTTTCTTTCTTATTTAGGGTTTGTTCACTTTCTTTTTTTTTTTTTTTTTTTTTTTTTTTTTTATTGTGTTCTTTGTTTAAGTACTATTTTGATCATTTTTGTTTGTCCTATTTTAAGATATTTTTATCATATTCTTTTTTTTAAAAAAATCATACATTAATACTAATATACTTTAAGTTTTATCTGATTTACTTATATTCTATTACATATAAAATTGCTTTATATATAAAGTCAAGGACAAAAATATCAAAATCTCTTACACATTTTTATTGACCAATAAAAAATTATTATTTTTTTAGGGTAAACTGTTTTTTAGTCTCGTAAGTGGACCCCCTTATCATTTTAGTCCCGTAAGTGGAGCCTGTCGCAAACTAGTCCCACAAGTGAAAGATTTTTGTTGTTTTACTCCTCCGGCGCCGGAGACGCCCGTGTGACTCGCCGGAGGCCGCGTGTCCGCCAGGTTAGCAACACATGGCGGACACGTGGATTTTATTTTATTTTTTTTTATTTTTTAATTCTTTTAAAATTTAATTTATTTTTAATTTTATTTTTCTTTTAAAATTTTTTTATTTGGTCCAATTGAAAAAAATTTAAAAAAATTAAAAAAATGAAAAAAAAAAAAAATGCACGTATCCGCCAAGTGTCTCTGACCTGGCGGGACACGTGGCTTCTGGCGAACCACGCGGGCATCTCCGGCGCTGGATGACTAAAACAAAAAAAAATTTCCACTTATGGGACTAGTTTGCGACAGGCTCCACTTATGGGACTAAAATAATAATGAGGTACAGTTACGAGATTAAAAAAATAGTTTACCCTATCTTTTTATTTATTACAAAACTCCAAATGACCCCTTTAATAATAAGAGGCGGAGGGAATATTTAATATCCAAATTCTTATTTTAAAAATTACGTATCCAACATAAATTTTCAATATAAACCACAAATTTAACAATTATTTCATCTAAAAAAAATATTAAAATCTAAAACAAACTCATACAAAACAAATAAATAAATGCCTGAAGAACTCTAAAGTTCTATAATATTTAGTTATATCTTCATTTTGATTTTTGCAATATTCAACTTATTGTACTCTTTAAGGAATATATTAATATTCTACACTAGTTTCTTATTTAACTACATTATATTTGCTTATACGACTTTTAATATATATATATATATATATTACTATACCCGTTATTCAAATGTATGTCAACTTTTGTTTCTAAATTGTTATAAAAAAAAATATTTTCATTTTCTTTCTGTATATTTTTACTATAAAAGATAAAAATAATATTTATTATCTACTTTTATTAGAATTCGTGGCCAACTATTTGAGCATACAATTGAATGATAGAAAAAAGTATATTTTATTCACAGAAAGTCAATATTTAGCATAAAACATTATTTTTATATTACCCACACAATTTTTCATACTTCAAATAAATATATATATACATTATCAAATTAAAATATTACAAAAAACACATTATTTCAAACTTTTCATTCTAATAACACGGAAGCAAAACATCTTTTTGTCCTTTTTTCTCGTCAGCTCCATTTTTTGCAAGCTCTATCACACAAAGTGATGTATATATACAAAATATATATTTATATATGATATATATATTTGACGGACCGGGTGGGATGGGCAATGACGGGGCCGGTAATCCCCTCCAAATTTCCCCTTCAAGTGTTATTCGATGTACTCTTATATAAACTATAGGTCATTATTCGAAACTTTTATTATAATTATTTAATGATTTCAATAGTTTTCAACAAATATGGAACTAATTAGTGAAAAATGATTGATATACTTCCCAAAAAATATTTAAAACTGTTTTTTGGATTTTAATTTTTAACTTTTTTCTTATTATTATGAAACAATTATTACAATATTCTATAATTTTCAACAAAAATATATTGCATTCAAAACTACTATTCTAACAAAAAAACCCAAAGTAACAGAAACATAAAAATAAAAAAAAATTAAAATTGTTGATGCCGGCACAGGTGGACTAAAAGTGCGAAAATTTTCTACTTACGTAACTAATACACGACGTGCTCTAGTTACATAACTAAAATGATAAAAGATCCAGTTACGGGACATAAAAATCAATTTATCCAAAATTAAATTATTATTATTATTTTATAAAAAAAAAAATTAAAAATCCGAAAAACTTCAAGCCCATGAATATTCTATTTAATTATATTTTACCTATGAAATTATAATTTGATAGATTTTCTACTATTATTCTTTTGACTCGTGCGATTTTAATAAAAAAATATATATATATGTTTTTAAGACAATAAAAATATTTTTCACTGTCGACTGTAATAAAATATTGTAACTTTGTCAACGTATTTGCTTCAATAATTCAAAAAAGTGACACCATGCATCAACAATTTTAAATTAATAAAATTAAATTGCATGTCTCCATCTTACTTAACATCATTGATTACGTATGAATTGGTAAATAAAAACGGCACCCATTATTATTATTATTATTATTATTAATTGTTTAAAATGGTAGCAAATTGACATTATATAACTGACAATATATATTTTTAACTAACAGTGTCTTCTTTCCCACCGAAGTTGAAGCCTTTGTTTAGGAACATTGTATTTAAGATGAAGATATTTAATTAATTTAAAATAATTAATTATGATATTATTATATTATTTTTTTATAATTAATATTATTTATATTTTTAAAAGTAAATTTAATATATATGATTAAAAAAATTAAAATATATGTTTAAATATTTAAAAATTATATAGCAATTAGAAAATATATGCAATATGAATATTATTTTGTAGATAATATAATTTTTTATAATACAAATAAATAAATAAATAATTTTGTTTATTTATAATTAACATAAATAAATTTTATAAAAAATGTATAGTTTTAATATAGATAAAAATATTTCTTTTTTAGGAAAGATATAGAAATAAAGGGGTTTTGAGTGGATACCTACGTCATTTATGATGTTGTATGTTATGTAGTTAATTAAATTGATTTATTTTGTTAAATATATTTTGATTTAATAATATTACCAAAAATAAAAAGATGTCAATTGTTATGGAACAGACAAAAATGAAAATAGTGTTAATTGTGGTGGACGGAGAGAGTACAAGTATATTCACATTTAATTTTTTTTTTTTTTTTTTTTTTATGAATATATATCTTGTGCTGACACTAACTTTATTTATTGTCCTTACATTATACTCCTCTGTCTCTAAAGGTCACATTTATCTTTTGCGTCATTGTATTTAACACTAAAAAAATTTGATATTTGTATAATTTTTTTTTTTGTACAAATGTTTTTTTATTAATATTACAAGATACCAATTGAAGTATTTTTGCAATTTTTTTTCTTAATTTGTACTCCGATATAATAATTAATATTCAATTACAAATACGCAAAAAGTAAATTAGATCCTTAGAGCCAGACGAAGATAATATTATAATAAATAATTTATTATCTATAATTATATTATGTGTTGTTTATTATAATGTAATTTACTGCACATATTGATTTATTTTTTTTATTTTATTTTTTTTTCGCTCAGCAAAATAGCTACAACTATGTTTACTTATAGATGTATTTTTATATGAAAATTTTATTATTTAAATCTATAAATTGTCTTTTAAACAAATGGAGCAAAATGATATAATAATTGTAAAAAATTTAATAAAAAAAATATTTAATTGGGTAAACTGTTTTTTTAGTCTCGTAACTGGACCCTCTTATCATTTTAGTCACAGAGCATGTCGCAAATTAGTCTCATAAGTGAAAAATTTTCGGTATTTTAGTCCTCCGGCGCCGGAGATGCCCGCGTGGCTCGCCGGAGGTGATGTGTCCGCCAGGTCAGCAACACCTGGCGGACACGTGGATTTGTTTTTTTTTCATTTTTTTAATTTTTTTAAAAAATTAAAAAAATAAAAAAAATGCAAATAAAATTAATAATAAATTAAAAATAAGTTTTAAAAAAAAAATTTAAAAAATGAAAAAAAAAAAAAAATCCACGTGTCCGACAGGTGTCACTGACCTAGCGGGACACCTGGCGGACACGTCACCTCCGGCGAGCCACGCGGGCGTCTCTGGCGCCGGAGGACTAAAACAGCAAAAACTTTTTA